AAAAAAATGTACAAAATGATGTAAAAATAAACTGTTGTAAAATTTTAAAAAAATCAAAATCATCAGGCAACTATAGATCAGAGACATTTTGTAGGGACAGGAGGGAGAAGGATCAGGACAGGAGTGGAAGAAAAAAAAATCTCTGGTCTCTGTGAAAGAAAGAAAACCAGGATAGACTTCGGTTTTAGATCCAACTATGCAATTATCTCACTTCCTTCTTCCACAGGTAAAAACATCTATGTTCTAGAAGGTAAGAAGCTTCAGCACAATATGAACTGTGTGTGCTGGTAGCAGACTCTGAGGAAAGAAACTGGATCAAGATTTTTTATCCCACTTCTTTTTATCTTTTGAAATTTCTATCACGTGCATATACTCAAAAAGTATTCTTGTTTTTAAGATCTAATATACAGCGCTATCACAATGGTGGGTGGTAAAGCCTGAAGAGGTCAAGGTCCATCATCCCCTTTCTTCCCTGTTGCAGTGGAGAAAAGAAGGCACTGGCCCTTCAGGGAATCCCTCCTGTGAACTGGTGCCCACTGAAACAGGAAATAGGTACTACAGAACACCACAATCAAACTTCCTGAATGTTTCACAACATCCCAGAAGGAATGAGAGAGAAGGCACACTCAGGTAGTAACAGATCTTGTTCATGTACTTTGTAAAATGAGTAACTTAAAGCTGAATGAAGGGAAGAAATGAAAAAAAGGGGGGGCAACAATTAAAATGATTCATAAGGCAAAAATAAAGTGCATTAACAATAATAAATCTAAATCTTGATTGTAAAAAAAATTTGACTAAATAGGGGAGGGAAGAAAATAAGTGCACTAGGTGTTCACAAATTGTAGTAATTTGTGTTTCAAGTAACTAGAGGTAAAAGAAAACATAACCCAAGCAATAAAAGAAACAGAAGCTGGACAAAATATTCCAAACAGACAAAAAAAAAAGATTAAAAAAGTCATAATTAAACTGTTCACAAAGTTGTAAGTTAAGCTTTCAACAAAATTACAAAAAATCTAGTTGGGTCCAATAACTAAATCTAAACATTTATAACTGAGGTATTCACACATTAGGAAATCTAATGCAAACACACATAAAAAGTGATCCACTGACAAAACATTACAATGTGAAAAGGAATATAAAGGGGTCCTTTCATGTTCCCAATAATATTGACATGAATATGAATCGCATGACTGCAAAATATGTAAAGCCACAATTAAAATACAGGCAAACACAAAAACACAGAGTGGTAGTAGATTTTAATCGATTCACCTACAGCATTAGGTGCTCACTGGTTGACCAAGAGCCAAAGAACTGACAGAACCCAGGGTCTCTTGCCTAGAAGAGTGCCAAGACAACTTGGACAGGCCAGATTATCTCCAAAAAACACCACCAGTCTTCAGACAAGGCTGACTCGCCGTGCCCTTGGCTGACCTCGCACTGGCTGACTGCAGCTGTCTCTCTGGTAGCCAGCACCTAGGCAAGTTCCAGCCTGCTCACAGGGAGTCCCTACGCCAATCCCCCCCTGAGGTAGCAGATGCTACAGCCTCCAAATAGGCAGAGCTCTGTCACCTTCCTTCAGATTGCAGCAGAAACCAAGTTCCAGGCAGGGTTTCAGATCCCCATGGTTCTTTCTCCCCACATACCTAGGTTCCCAGGCCATCAAGGTAAGAACTCTGTAGTCACTCACCAATAGATGCCAGATAAGTAAAAAGAGATTTAAATATACTCAATTGTTATGTATGTAAAATATATATAACAGACTCAGATTTTTCATTCTTTGAGCTAGCTTGCTCAACCTCAACAAATTTGAAAGTCAAACAAAAATCAACACATTTTCTAAAAAATGTGTATTCTAAGCTAACATATAAGTTGCATCTGACCTTAAGAGAATACAGAACTAGGAGGAAAACAAAAAATTGACACATTTCACCATCTCCCATCCCCTGATCAACTAACAAGGTAGTATCACCAGACATTTCCAAAAACTAACCCAAAAATGATACCAAATGATTTACTCAACTGAAAAATAAATGGAGCAAATCATAAGTAATGAAAAATTATGCCCATCTGTGATAAATTATAGTGTTACAGTTGTAAGAAGACATTTAAAAAACGCTTTCTTCCTTTCTGTCTCATACATTCACCAAAGGAAGTACTTTTTATTTCCCAAACCATCATTTGTCAAGGAAATTACAGAAACTATAAAGCTGAAGGTTAAACACTTTAAATAAGAATTCATACTCCAAGGAAGTAAGAATCTTTCAACTTTTATTTCTAGGATACATTCATCTGTAACCTTTTAGTTTTCTTTACAATTTTCCCCCTAAGAGAAATGAATACAATAAAAATATAATCCAACTACCAGCAATGTTTGTAACCAGAAAAGAATCTAAAATCTCTGGTGTGATAATATAGGATTTTTTAAAAAATATAAACTTCATACCAGAAATAAAGCCTGAATATTCTCTTTTTCTTTAAAAATATAATTTTCCTTCTTTGCTCTTCCATGTAAATCTTATAATCAACCATTTATTTCTAAAGTGTATTTTTAAACTAGTAATTTTAACACTACCATTTTTTCCTACTTTGTATCCCATACTGTACTTTAAATCAACTAATAATTGCAGAACTGTTTTTAAAAATGAGATCCCAGTAGATTGGAGCAAGATTCTTCAAGATTTACTAATTAAAAAGAAAAAAAGCTACCAGTAGCAAACTGAAACCAATGTTAACAAATTGCATCTTATTGTGTTTATGAAATTTAAAAAATATGTACAAAGCACTTTTGCAAACTGTAAAGCCTCTAAGTGGACATTTTTTTTAATGTTTTGACTAGAAAGTCTGCTGACTAGGACAAAATGTAAGGGACAGAAGGCTCCGTGAAATCTTGTTTTCTGTAACAAATTTGAGAAGGAGAGTATAAGTTGCAAAGAAGTTGGGGTGTTGGTTGACAGATGTCTCACAAATATTGACTGGTTTGCAGTGACATTTTTCTTAATTAAGAATAAAGACCAAGAGACTTAGGAACCCAGCACTTTACACCAGACTAAAAAGTCAGGCCATCTGTCTCCAGCTAAGGATAAGAAATCAGAATTTTTTTCCCCACTTATGACTAGTTCCTCTAAGCAGAGCTTCCTTATCACTTAAAAGTACTGATAGTATTCCAAAGCCCAACACAAATGATCTGTGAATGGTCTCCTTTCTGTAGTTTTGAGATGATCAAAAAGTCTAATGTAAACATAGGTACAACATGCCTGAACAAGAATGACACTTTACCTTTAAATAGACAGCATTAACCACAACTACATTTTGGAATATTTTGTGGAATATAGAAAACTAAGCAAAGGATTAAAAAGTTCGGTCACAAAGTCTTCTCAATGAAGGCTTCCCTTGCAAATCAGAGAGGAGAAACTTCTAAGAGCCACCTTAATGAAACTAGACAGGTTTGCACAGACCCAACAAAGACGGGTTGCAAGAGTTGTCTATCTGTATCCAGACAAAGGTGACCTAAAGAAAGCACACTCAATCAGCTAAACTATGAGTGAACTAGCAGGAGGGAATGGGCTTGGTTTGCTGCAGAAAAAAGGTTTTGCTAACAGAGCCAAACAAGTCTGGTATGCTGGAAGAATTTGCCACAGGGGCTGTGGAGCCTTTTTTCCTACCATTTCTGAAAAACCTTCCTGTGGTTCTCGGAGCAGGCCTAGCCTACCACAGAGAACAGGCTAAATGGCCTTAAAACTTCTCTTTTGGCCCTCTAACGCACTCACTCTTTTCTTTAGTGCTGTCTTTCCCAAAGAGAATATTCAGGCCAATTTTTTTGTTTTCTCTGCATTGGGAAGAATTATAAACTAACAATTTGAAATACCCCAACTCTCACTGAGTATTATTAGGTCATCATACGAAACCTTTAGCAATATGGAAAAGTTAACTTAGATGCCATTAACACATCAAACAAGCCCGTAACATATTTTGATGATTCCATAATAAAAGTTGGCAATGATATGTAAAACCTTTTTGCCAAAGTTTTAACTACTGGACTTTAAACCAATTTCAATTCCATGTAAAATTATTTGTATCGGAGTAACATGCCTTTGTATTTTCTACATACAACAAAGATTTTTTTTAAATATACATATTTTTTTAAACCAACCCACTCCCTTTTACAATCACACCTCAGTCCAACATTTAAAATATAAACCCAAACTATCAATGAAAACAACAATGGACCAAGTGACAGAATAATTTAAATGAAACAATAATGAAAAACAGTCAGCATCAAAACTTAAGAAAACAAACAGTCAATGGAAATCTGCTCATATGCTTAATGTGTTCAGAAACAAACCTCACACAGAACAGATCCAAGAGTGCTTCCAGACAACTCATTCCTTTCTCATTTTCTCATTCCATGACACATGGCTCACTATTTTTACTTAAGTTTATACAGTGATTAGTCTAACAGCAGAGATTAATGTTAAATACACAACCTATTCCAGAATTGGCATATGCTCCCCACAAATCTTTTATGTGCTCCCTGAATTATAAAATGGTCCAATCTTTTAGGAGCATAAACATGAAAGGGCTTATTTCTACTCATATACATTGTGCATTAGATGATATTAAGACAATAAGGTGGGAGAAAGGAATAGAAAGGTACATTAAATTTTCTTTAAACAATTCCATTACAATAGACAGTATTGCCAATGACATAAATTTATTTTAACCAAGTTATTAAAAAAAAAAAAAGGGGAAGATATTACCACCAGAATGTCTATCAATTTCTTGGAGAAGCTAATAATAAAACATTAAACATACATATTTGTATATTTATTTGAAGAATCTTTGGTAGCAATTGTGTTTCTTCCACATTATAGGACTTTTCAAAATAAACTGTCAAAATTAACTTACTAATCAACATAGGAAAGATAAATTATAGTACTCTTTTGGTTTTCCTATAAAACATTCTTGAACCTGATTGTTAACTTGTATTAATCATGCACTTAAACACACGGTTTAACTTACGTACAAATAAAATGAGACTAATCAGAAAGAAATTAGACAGTAATGAGAATCAATGACAAAACATAACAATGACAACTGTTCTTAAGTAATTTATTTTTAAATTATAAGATTTACAATGCTTTGATTAAGCAAAATAGCAAATGGAAATTAAACCAAATGAATAAACCAAAACAGAAAGAAAACTAGTGTTCTTGAATCTTAGTACTTAAGCCACCATTGTAAGTATCTGATGTCCCAATCACATCTTGTGTTGACGTAAGTATAATCATTTCAAACATTTCAGTTGTGGGTTTAATTTCTCATTTTCAGCTTTTGTGAACTGTAATGGAATTTATTTCAAATCCTATTATACCTAATGTCTGTACTGCAACAGCAGTAAATCTCACATGTGCAATCAAATGTGGAAACGGGGCACAGCTTTTAGCTGCAGACCGAAATTATACACTGCATTCAGTACAGTAGAGTGCATTATATTAACCAGAACGTAGAGTTTAGTACACTTATTGCAGGGTTGGTATTTCTTTCCCTTTGAACTGAACCAGCTGAGCTTCTGAGCTGACATATTACTGCTGTGTATTACTGCTGCGGATAGTAAGACTGCTGGGGGGGCTGAGGGAAAGGGTATGAAGGCTGCTGGGGTCCTGGATATGGAGCCTGTCCTGGGTTCTGATGATACACTGGTGGATATGGCATATTATACTGGCCATATGCATAAGGATTATAGCCCATGGGCATGGGCATTTGGCAATACCTGGTAGGAAAAAGAATACCAAGAAAAAAAAGGATTAGTAAATTCAATACTAGAAAAACGATACATCTAGCAATTATTCTAAAACCAGTATTTTTTAAGAAAAACATTGTTCTCTATTTCTCAGTCTACTAGAAATAAACAGAGAGGAAAAAATAGCTACATAAGGTAGTTGTTAGAATAATGAGGTCCAATCCTATTATTAATTGAAATGAAAGAACATCGAGAGTTTAATACTATCCAGAAACTGTTGGTTCAAAGAGGACTACTCAACTATTACAAGGAATATCAATGGAGACCCTTCATGTTAATATGGTAATCTAACTACATTCCTATTTCACAAAGCTCAATATTATAATGCACATAGACTGTTTATAAAGTTCTAATATTTGAAAGAAAGAATATATTTACTGAGTTTGGATCACATCTTAGTAATCAAATGTCTTGACTTTTAAGATTAACAATATATCTCCTAAAAAGCTAATCTTTAAGAAAGAGCATTCTGTAACTAGAATTCTGTTCAACATTTTATTAGAATGCCAATATTCAAAGTATAGGTCCATGAAGGCCTTCTCGTTCATACTATGCTAAGTCAAAAAAGGCATCTATCTCCTTACCTAAATAAAAAACACAGACTTTCTGAATACCATAGAGAGGATCTATATTTAATATAAACCCATTATGTAAAAACTAAAAACATATATAAACACAGGAAACAGCTACTAAGTAATTGGTGCTAACATTATTTTTATTTCTGTAATAACCTGACAATATAACTTATTCATGATACCTCTGTTCAGTGAAAGATGACCCTGTTTTTTAAAGGGCTAAAAATATGAGCCATTTAATGGGATAAACAACATTCCTGCCTTACCCGGGATATCCTGGATAGGTGGGGTAGGGGGGTCCCTGGGCCTGAGGAAGGGGAGCTGAACCAGGCGTTGGTGATGGAGCTGGTACAGCAGTCATAGTACCCACTGGAGCTGAAGCAGTAGCAGAAGGAGCTCGATTTGCTGGAAGCACAGGAGGTGGAGGCCGAGCTGGGGGCTGGGGCTTAGGCTGTAAGAAAAAGTTGGCACTATCACATATTTCATGTTTCTCTCAAATTGCTATCAATTAAAATAAATGCAAGTATATGAGAAACTGCAGGATCCAGCCCAAGTTTATATTTCTGATCCCCATTTTTTAACGTTGGCTTATTGGTCTAGAAATTATCACAACTGAAGATATTAAGTATGAAAGAACAGGTCAGATATGGTTATCACTGTACTCCTGGTCCCAGTATTTTTACATGAACATTTTCAAACACAAGAAACAGACTGATGTAACAAATGACAACATATTTGCCAATTCAGTAATTATTAACATTTGTCCGTATCTGCTTCACCTATAGGTTACATCTCATATATTTATCTTATATATTGCCAAAACCATATGAAAGTAAGTTGCATATTTTGTGATAAGTCCTAAAGACTTCATCCAGCATACAAATCCTAATATTCTGCAGAATCAATATCATTGCACCCTAAGAAAATTATTCTTCAATATCACTGAATATCCCCCCTCCACAGTCAAGTTTCCCTATTTATCATTAAAAAAAAAAAAGGTGTTTTTACGAACCAAGTTCTAATCAATCTTCAAATACTGTATTTTAATTATTGTGAATCTGTTCTCTTTAAATCTTGAATATTCCCTTTCACCTTTTTTCTTCTATGAAACACACTTTGGGAAATGACCAAGCCATGAATCTCACAACTGTTCCAATTCTAGATTTGTCTAAGTGTTTCCTAACAGCATCATTTAACATCTTATCACTGCATCTGCTGTAAACTTAAAGTTGGGTCTACTGACGATTTAGGTTCCAAACATTTTTTGGGCAAGAATTCATGCATGATGCTATACTGTTCCTATTACACAGCATGAGAGGTTTGATCACCTAATGAAAGTAGCAATCATCTCCAATGTAAAGTGTATTTTATTCTTTCAACAAGCGATCATTAATTAAAACTTCCATTTAAAAACTGTTTGCTTACTGACCGGCACGGTTCTTGGTGCTGGAGTTGGAGGAGTTGGTGAATGTCCCCCCGCTGGAGAGGACTGGTAGGCAGGTGTAGGAATTGAAGGAGCACTAGGTTCTCTGGCAATGCTTTGTTGCAAGTCCCTTTAAAAGACAAGTGTTAAACTCAAAAAACTATATACAATTAATACATTTCTATTGTTGATTAGAACTTAAAAATATTTTTTCTTATTGCTATTTAATAAAATAAACTCCTATTTCTCAGTAATTGAAAAAAATAAATAAATTTTGTCTCAGTGATTACAATTATAGCTAGAATGAGGAATATGTCAAACCAGGGAAGTGCTTCTAAAGACCACCCACAGTAAGAGGTCATCTTTAGATGAGACCTTATTACAATAACCTATCTTATCAGAAAAACTACAACTACTCAATGACCAAGCTATACCCAAATTACTATTACTATTACCCAAACATTACATCAGGGTTTATAGACAACAAATCAACAGGTAAGAAAGTGAATCTGTTAAAAATATTGCAAAAATTTTCAGATGAAAATATTCAAAGAAATACGGCACTGATGTATTTTATGTTGAGACCTCATAGTTTATATGCCTTAGTTTTGAACATCTTTGTTCCTTTTTCCTGACTCTAACATATATATACCCTTTCTACATAAGTTTCATTAAATTTTGTTCTTATATTTACCTTTATAAAGATAGTATTTTCATATGGATCAACTTTCTAATTATTAGCAAATGTCAAATGAAGACTTCAGGAAGCAATTTTGCTGACACTTTCTGAGCTAGTCACACTGTCTTCCATCTTTTGTAGCTCTCGTTTTATGACAGGAACCTATCTGCCACTTGTAGGCAAACTCCCTGCTTAGTGGCATTTTCTGAGATGTGTCACCTTGAGTTACTTTTTTACCATTTCTGTGGTATCACTATGCTTTCCTACATGAAGAGTTTGGTGTTTGTTTGTTTTTTTCTTTCATCCTTTTGTTCCCAAATCATACTGCTTGCTTTCTGCTTTATAAAATACCCAGAAGAAAAAGGAAACTGGTAACACACAGCAAAGCTCAACCCAAAAGTCACTTCATATGATTTTCTTGAAAGAAAAGTATTTTAAGTACAAGCTGACACAAAAACAAACTTACTTTAAGAGTTCATCTCTTTCGGTCTTCCGTGCAAACACTATATCACTGCATTTGTTCTGGAATCTTAACAGGAGTTCAGTCAGGTCATTGTAAAACTACAAGCAAAGAACAAATGTAAGTAATTTTTTAATCTAAGGTAGAATACAATCTATAGCTCATTTATCAGTATGGCTAAAGCACTAAAAAAGCGTGCATGAGATACACTCATACCATTTAAGTCCAACAACTTAGTATTAAATATGACCTAAGAGTCCTAAAGAAAATAAAAGTTTGAAAATCATTTTTAGAGAACTCCATAACCAAAAATTACCTAGCAACAGCTATGTAACTTCCACAAATGTTAACTATATAATAAAGATACTAAACCCTTTCAAGTAGAAAAATTAGATTTGCACATTTACTTCAAAAATGTAGGCATGATACAGAAACTCTGACTAGAATTTCCAGAAGTTCTCTGTAGAGTTTTCTCAGTATATCTATTTTGACAAAGCAATTTAAAACAAAGTATCTTGCTATCCTCTCTATTTAGAAGGCTTTACATATTTCTATTTCTCTTTAGAGAGTTTTACATTATATACAATGTGTTTACATCATGATAACTTTATTCAGTGATCATTTTGGAGTTAAAATACCTAAAAGAAATACATATCTAAAAGCAAGGGAATCAGTAAAGTAATTGGTAAAAACAAATATATGTATTTCCCTAAGCTTTCTAAACAAAATACTTCAAATGTTCAAAGCACTCTGAAATTCAGACAATTAAAGTCTATCATAATCCAAACAATCACCACAGAAGATATAAGCTACACCTGCCCTCCTCCTTCCCTACCACAAATCACTCACTCCTATTCTCTATTTCCATTCAAACTTTCCACTGCCACAAATTGTGTCATTAGCTGTTGATATCTCTGAGCTAATTCTTGCTACCAGGAACGCTTACATCCCTATTCTACCTGGTGAAATATATATAATTCATTCCTCAAAGTCCCCATGAAATGCTGCCACTTTAAGTTTCTTCCCTTTTATAATAAACCTCTCAGAGGCAAACATTGTTATTTAAAATAATTATTAAATAATAATTAAAATAATTATTAAAAATAATTTGGTCTAGCTGGACACACCAATTAACTTCCCAACTATATTTTCACAACTACTGTTTCTTTTGTACATACCTTTGTGCCCTCCTTCAAATTGTCTAGAAGTTCAACAAAGTTGTCATATGCAGTAGCTAAATTCTTCAGAACTTCTTCTCTTAAATTTGCTTCATTGTTACACTGCTTCATTTTAGAAAATTCCTGGTGTGAGACCTTGTTAAAAGATTTATACATTTATATTTACTGATCAAATTAAAGTAGCTCATTAATATATGTGATATTTTTCCAACTGAAAAAACATTCTGATTACATACAGAAATTACTTGAAGTTTACATATTATTTCTTTTGGGGTAGCACTACATTTTTAAATCTTTCCTTAATAGTATAACTATCAGTGGGTTTCTGAACACTGTAATGACTACAGATATATACTAACACATAATACAATCATAAATGGACAAACATAAATCTTCCTAAGGTATATAAATTTTACCTGAATGTTTTTTTAAAAAGATTTATTTATTTATGCATACAGAACTGGGGTACAGGCCAAAAATGCAGGGGCGGTGAAAGGATTCACCAGAGACAGAGTAGGGAGTGGAACAGGCAGATTGACAAAGTACACTGCTGAGGAGAGCACCAGGCAGGTCAGGAGAGGTCTGCCACACCATGTCGATCACTTCCAGGGTGAGGATCGAACTCATGCTTAAGTGGCTTTAGCTTCTTAGTGCTGTGCTTTAACCCGCTGCGCCACCAGGGAGGGCCCTTACCTGAATATTTTTAAGAAGTTCTTCCTGCTTCTTTAGAGATTCCTGGACTTTATTCGTAAGACCTCCATAGATTCGATCTAGTTCAGTAACAGAAAGTGTTTCTTCATTGATCACACCATCTTGAGCCAGAGCAGTCAAAAATTTGCTTGTCATGTCAAAATTCACTGCTTTTAGATCATTTTCCAGACCCTCTCTTTCCTTCTTTATTTCATCAAGATTTGTTAATAAGGATTTTAAGACATTTACAACCTAAACAATTTAAAAACAAAAACAAAAAACCTTAGCTTACTGCCCAAAAACAGAAATCAGCTTCAAGGGATTCTAGCGGAACTCAAAGAGCAGCAACAATAATGGTAACAGTAGCAAGAGCTTCAAGTTATTGAACAATTATTCTGTGCCAGATACTGTCCTAAGACACTTAACATTTAAATGTGATGTATTCTTTACAATACTCCACAGATAAACATGTATTACCTCTATTTCACAGATGGGAAAGGTAAGTCTCAGAAAAATTAAGTAAGATGCCCAAGATCATACAGCTATGAAAGAAGAGAGGTAGAACTTGAGACCTAAGTCTGACTAACTCCAAAACCAATCTGTTGAGCTCTCTATACAATACTTCCTCCCTGTAAGGAAGGTACATTTTTGGCAACTAAGTAGATATCTCATTTGGTAGACACAGACTGAGAGACAGGGATATAGAGAGATAGCTATACAGACAAAGACAGTTATACATAAATGGAGCATGCCAGAAGAGAGAAACAGATACAAAGGTACAAATCATGTGTACATTTTATATACTGGGAGAGAAAGAGAGATGGTTGTTACACTTCTCTTCATATCACAGAGTTCTAACTCTCTTACTCAGGCAGTCTATGACTTACATCCACATGATTCATATACACCACTTGTTAGTAATAGTGTTCCAGCATTCACGTGCCCTCTAGGGTGACCTGCAAGTTCCCCTTTTCACTCATCTCTCAACATTTCTACTGGATCATAAAGAACACCAACCCAACTACCTCATTCTGCTTGCCCCAGGGATGTTTGTTAAAAGAAAGCTAGGAAAAAGACAAAGGCAGAAAGTGACAGCCATGAACCCCATCCCACAACCCTATCTTTTCAAGTCCTATGGATCTCCTCACCAAATGACTGTTTCTAAGAATTTCTGTCCTAATCTTCATTCCACAGCCCTAGTAAGCTCCTTGACAGGACTGTCCTTACTTTATGAAGACCAAAATACCTGAGGGAAAAAATCTAAAGTTTCTTCTAAATAGGGCCACCTTTATTTTAGCTTCTGCTGACCACTCCATATCTCCTAAGTGTCCTAATTTAATGTTCAGTCTTTTATTTACTTCAGGGAAGTTTCTTTATTCCCAAGCCTCTGCCCGAATTAAATACTAAGAACATATTAAGTACCTTGAATTTAATACCCAGCTCACAGAGATACTCAATACATGGAAATTAGTACTACAGCATGTAACAGTATGAGCATAATTACCTATTACATGATATATAGCATTTTATTTGGAATATTAATACCTTTGTTTACTTCTGCATTTTTAAAAAGATGTCAATAAGGAGTGGGCAATTTATTATCTATAACAGCTTGAATATAGTTTTCATAAGCAGATACCACTCACATCAAAATACATCTTCTTACCTCACTGCCTTGCATGGTCTTTGCTGGGTTAGCAGAAGGGATAGCGGCATTCAGTTCAGGTTCTGGCTTACACATAAGGGCAATGGTGTCCCGATGAGACTGGTAACGTTCTTTCACATGTCCATCTGCTTGCACAGCTCTGTCCAAAACTGCTCTGAAGTTGGTTCCCTCTGGGGGAGAAGGGGAAATGGAGAATTTTCCCAGAACCCAGCACTGATTTCAACAATGTTAATGGGCTAGTTGTACTTATAGCTCTTTTTCCCAACTTTACTTATTTGTCCCTTTTATATGTCCCAATTCATTAGATAATTAAATCTCAGCTCCTGACAGTTTTCACCTTTTATTTTCAGGGGGAAAAAAAAATCAATTACAAAGCAAAAGTAACACTGTACCTTAAAATATATTTTGTGTTTCTGCCAATGAAATAAAAACTAATTCACATTAGTATTTTTACAACTCAGGAATATGCAAAGAAATCATTCACTCCAAAAACTGTTACAACATATTTAAACAGCATTCATCTCTTGAAAATCACTGCTTCAACTTAACATAAAAGAGAAAATATAACTTTAGAAAAATCTCATGGCATTATTTCCTTTTATAGAGATAAATAAATTCTCCAGCCACTTTAAAGACATAATTTATCCTAGCAAACACAAAACTCTTAATAATCAATGTCTTTTAAAGAATAAATATGGTTACAAATTAACTGTTAAAACTCATCTTTTATCGCCAAGGACTCACTATTAAGCAAGATAAATTACAACACAACACATAATCTTATTTATATGTTTAAAATATGAACAGGGCATAAAATGGAAAAAGAAATGCACAGTTATTCTTTTAATTTTCACTTTATTCCCACCTAAACAATCTGAACTTCTTACACCAAACATTTTGTTACCTTTGTTTTGTTTCGGTTTTTTAATTTTATACTGAACTGAGAGAAAATACTGTGCTTTCTTTTGCATCCAAACTGAAGTGGCTTGTGCTGAGCCCACCGAGACTTCAAATCCAACCTGACTGCAGTCTCAACCTCCCCCAGAATGTAGTGTTAACACAGTGTGGAATTTTCTGGTCAAGACCAATGAGGTAATTTTCCATTCCCCAAAGGAAGATGAGATAATCACCTTAAACACTTCCATTTATCACAGGTGGGTTACGTAAGCTGAAATTAATCTCCCTTTAATTTGTGACCTCCCTGGTACTGCCTTCAAAAAACTTGTCCCTTTTAGCAGTCCCTTGGAGCTCTCTTCTACTTGCTATAAGTGGTACTAATTCATGAATCCCTTCATTAAAGTGAATTAGGTACTTAAAATTTACTCATCTGAACTTCTGTTGTTTCCATGACAGCACAGTTTCAGTAAAAAAACAAGTCTGCATACACCTAATTTAATCAAGCAAAATATAGGTACAGATTTGGTATTTATTCAAGTGAATGTCACTTGTGCACATTTTTACCTGCTCTTAAAGGCTTATAGAGTTCATTAGATGGTGTCCTTTGCCAGCGTTCCTTGAATTTTGTTCTTAAATCGTTGTCAGTGGCTTCTTCTTCATCCAACATTCTTAATGACTTTTTAAAAGAAGGGAAAGCAACAATGAAATATCATCCCTGATGTGAAACTTAAAAATATGACTACTTTAAGCAAAAACTTTTAATATTAAAACAGAACACTTTCAACCTTCAAAGTGATAAAAGAGAAAAATGCTTAGTCAATATACAATAAAAGATTTAGAATTTCATCTCAGTTACAAAAAAACTAAAAATTAACATATAAATAAATACTTGTTTAATATATAGCTGAGAAGACAGGATACTAGGGAGCTAGAAACAAAAGATGCAGGGATTAGAGCCAATGGTACCTGCTAATTCCTGAGAGCTTAAGCAGGTATTTTCACTTTTACACAAGAATAAATATTTTAAGTTTTGTGGACTGTCAATAATCATCTTTTGCTTTTTAAAATGGTAAAAATAATCATCAACTAGTGAGCCTTATAAAAATCATTCACTAGCCAAAATCACTCCACTCGATATATCTTGCCAATTTCATAGGTCACTACTAGCTTAGAACACAAATTTAACGGAATGAGTATGAGACAAGACACAGGAGGTGCTTGTAAGAGTAGGAAGTCAGATCAAAGGCACAACCCTTCCTCAAAATGGGAAACTTCCAAGTGGGTGACATGCAGAGTTCATAAATAGTAACATTATTTGGGAATAGGTAAAATAAAATGGTTAGCAACCCAATTATCTCTCATTGATGAATGGATGAAAACAATGTGGCACATCCACATAGTGGGATGAAATGAAGTACTGACACGTGATATAACACAGATGAAACCTGAAATATTGTAAGTGAAGGCAGCCCAAATCAAAAGGCTACCTGCTATTTATGACTGCATTTATCAGAGATCGCCATATGCAAATCCACTGAAATGAAACCCCTATTAGTGGTTTTGAAGACCAGGGGAGAGGGGAATGACGAGTGACAGCTAATGGAGATAGGTTTTTCTTTTGGGGGGGTGATAGTGTTGGTGTTTACACAACACTACAAATGTACTGAAAAGCCACTGAATATTATACAGTTAAAGAGGTTAGAATGGTAAGTTGTATACTGATTTTACAAGACGGTCATGAGGTTCATTAACAAGCATTTATTTACCGATAAAATGTAAATGAACCCGTTCTCAATCAGAATTCCTTTGGGACTGAAGAACAGACACTGGACCACAATAAATTCACTGAGATGATGAATACTACCCTATAAGGCACAATAGGAAGAAGCTTCTAATCCTAATCTCCAATGAACACCAAGAGTCAAAGAATTTTTACTGAAAAAGCAAATCTCTCAAAACATACCTCATCTAAGATCTCCCTATTTCTTTGTAGTAATTCAGGTAATTCTTTGATCAACTGATCAACAGTCTGGATGCCTCCTCGTTCAATCACAGAGTTGGACTTAGTCAATATAGACTGAGGGACAGTATCTCCAGATATATCTTCAATTGCTGCTGGAAGATTAAGGGAAGCTAACACCCTAAAGAAATCAAAATGAGACATTCTATCATCTGAAAGTCTAAATCAGCTTCAAAACTTAATGTCCTATATCCAAATCAATAGCAATGAAATTAGTACCCCCCAAAACACAGTCAAGTCCCAGCAAATGAAAAATAACGCAAATATGGAATATGGTTAATAAAATTAAAACAAAATCATTAAAGTTATTTAAGATCATAGTAAATTAAAAGTAAAAAGAAAAATATGACAGCATTAAAATAAACTGAAAACCTTGGGTCCACATCTCAAACTTGAGTAAAGTCTTTCAATAAGCAATTAAAATTTTAAAATTGTACTTTAGGGCCTCCCTGGCAGCACAAGGGGTTAAGTCTCAGTACTCACTATCAAGCTATCACCAGCCACTGCAGCATGAGTTCAATCTCTTAGTCATGGAGCTGACAAGTATAACGCAGCAGACCTCTCCTGTCTTACCTGCTGCTCCCTCAATAGTGTATTTCAGTACATCTGCCTGTTCTCCCCACTCTGTCTCTAGTGAGTCCTCTCACCCCTGCACCTCTGGCCTACACCCCAGTTCTTGTATGCATAAATACATAAAAATAAATCTTTTTTTTTAATGCAGCCTTTACTCATACTTTATAACTGAAAAATCAGAAATAGTTATGTAATATAACCTAAGGCAAAATGTTAAAATAATATAGTTGATCTTAAAATGAATCTTCATTTATACTCAGTTTTGTGGCTTATTAATAACTTCTGTTATTTTGCTAGAAAAAGAAAAGTGAGGTCAAATCCATGTTTCAGCAAAATAAAAAAACACGAAAAGGCAAAACAGACTAGGGAAAAAAATTCTTAATTGCATGTATTTGACAAAAGACTTGCCTCCAAAATACATTAAGAACTTCTTAAAGATTAAAGAAAAATCAATTTTAGGGCCCTCTCTGGTGACGCAGTGAGTTAAAGCACAGCACTAAGAAGCTAAAGCCACTTTGGCATGAGTTCGATACCAGCCCCGAAGGTCTCATGAAATACTTCACATGAGATACATGAATGGATCTAAAGCAGATGAAGTTACTCAATATCATCAGTAATTAAAGGAATGGATATTAATGCAAAAAAGTATCTTGCATTAAAGAAATGAAACTAAAAATGAGATACTGCTATACACATGTAAAAATGGCTCAAATTAAAAAGACTGACAAAAGGCTAGCCCACATATGATGCAGCAGACCCTTTCTGAAAATGTACTTCAGGGGATCTACCTCTTGTGCTCCCCCACTCTGTCTCTGGTGAACTCACTCATCCCCACCCACAGCTTTGGCTACACCCCAGTTCTTCTATGAAAAAATAAATTAAGAAAAAAAAAAGAAATGGGTACATTTATTGTTTTGGAAATTATACTTATATTTTACTTAAATCAATGTATTATTTTCTCAATTTTCAAAGCAAAAATCAGTTCAGAATACTGAAGGTACCATGATCTTAGCTTAATGAATTCATTTCTAGCTCGCCTTTCCCTTAAATCAATATTCCCTAAAATACAAATTAGTAATCCAATTCCTTCCAACTATATTTGCTAAGGCTTAACAAATACAGTGTCCTCAAGAATTGTCTATATATGCAAACTAAAATGTTCAGAAACTATTTAAAGAACAAATCAAGCACAAAACATTTGAACTTTACAGATAAATTTAGGAAAATTAAGCTCTACTCACCCATTTGCCAAAGTGGTGGCTTCCCTCATTTGAGCAATTGATCTGTTAACTAAGTCAGCTTTCCTCTGATTATAGGCAGACAAAGCCTGCTGCACTGACACAGGAACCATCTTCTCAAACAGATCTAAAATCAGGAATAGAAATTTAACAAAAAAAGTCCAATACTCCAACTATAAAGTGACTTCTTATTTCCTTTACATTATTCATATAAAGAGTGTACAAATACTAGAGCTAAGATCAGAAATAATCACTACTGAAAGTACAAGGGTAAAGTGAATTTTTAGGTCACTATATTCATTGACAATGACTAAAATGAAAGGTTATCATTGAGCTTAAAGGCTCACTAGCAAAAGTGTTATAAATAAGAAGCACCGTCTCTCAGTTACACTGACTAGTGGCCACAGAGCCAAAATCCGGCTTCCTGCTCTACACTTCTAGGTGTGCATCAGCAGTCCCTCAGCCATCAGCAGTCCCTCAGCCACATGCACTGAAAGTGCCTATCTCATGAGGCGGCTGTGAAGAAAACATACACTAATTTTGTAAACTGCTTACAAGAGCCCCTCTTACCTGTTTTCTACATAGAAATAAGTTTTTAAAACATCACATTTCCTGAAAATAGAATATTACGCTTGAACACTCAGCTAAAGACTACCAACTATGTACATCTACACTGCCCAAGGGACACTACTTAAAACTAACAAGAATTCAGAGGTTTACTTGCTGAAGTGATATCTGTGTATGCTTATGTTTTATGTAGAATCTTAAATAATAAAACAAATGGTATGTTACAATGACAAATGCTGGTTTAAAATATTTATCATTACAACAGTTTCAAGTTTTCTGGCTGTTACCTAAGTTTACAGATGGATTATTACCATTTACTTTATTTTACACTTTAAAATTTCACTATATGGCCCTTACTGGTGGTGCAGCGGGTTAAAGCACAGCACTAAGAGGCTAAATCCACTTCCTCAAGAGTTCGATCCCTGCCTACCCAGGAGGTGACCACATGGCGTGGCAGACCTCTCCTGACCCGCCTGCTGCTCCCCTCAGCAGTGTACTTTGTCGATCTGCCTGTTCTGCTCCCCACTTTGTTTCTGGTGAATCCTCTCACTGCCCCTGCACCTCTGGTCTGTACCCCAGTTCAGTCCTTTTTTTTTAAATCTTTAAAAAAAAATTTCACTATATAACATTACAGTTTTATTCTCACATTCATTTGAACAACATGAATGAATATGTTCCATTCAAAGCACACAGTAACAATTATCATTCCAGATATGAAAAACATTTAAACAGAAGAGTAAGATTAAAATGCATATGAATACTTGACATACCAGTAAATTTCTGGCTGATGGGTACATTGACTGGGGTAGACTTCACAAGTGTGGCTTTGCCAATAGGATCCAGATCTTTAAGATCTGGTACTCGATCATGATAAATGAAGTCATTATCTTTCTTTGCTGCAGTGAGGGCACGGTTGATCTTGTCAGAAAAATCTTTCACATTGACATATTCATCATATCGAGATGCCACTGTTTTAATCAATTCTGCTGCATGCTAAAAATAAAAATGTAAAAATAGTTATTTTCCTAACTAGCCATCTAAGCATTAGTGGTAGTGGTTTTCATTTTTTTTTAATCTTTAATTTGAAGATAGCAGTTAATGGCAGAAAAACCTAGAAATTCTCCCATGACAAAATATTTCAAAAATTAAATAATACAAAGCAGACAGCTCTTACATAAGGTGAACTGCAAAGAAAGTGAAAGCAATCAGTAGGACAATGAGTATGAACAGACCGTGAGGAGGGGTGGTTAAAACAAATGTTATCTAAAACACTTAGAGAGACACACAAATGACTACCAATTACAATGCACTACAAGCCCTCCTAGAAACCTGGGAGCAACAATAGATCTTCCACCTACAGTGATCACATTCAACAATTGTTACCATCTACCATGTTTCTCTTTTCCCTTATAGCAACCTGTGTGTTTGGTTTTTTGGTTTTTTGTTTGTTTGTTTTTTTGCTTCTTTTGGGGGGAAGACTCATTTGTGATGCATCATGACCTTTTATCCCTAAACATCTAATATCTTCTAATAAGGACAAGCTCCTCAATACTGATAACCACATATCAAACAAATAAATAGTACTTTGAAAAAATTAGCTTTACCATCTTACCAGGTTCATTTGTGATTTAAATAACTGCCATAAGGGACTTTTTATATTTCCGTATCTGTAAGATATTTTTTAATATCTTTTTGAAAATTCTACTTTTAGCAGCTTTAAATATTCTATCAAGATGCTCAAGAGGACCCACCATCTAGAGTCAAAGAACTGCAGTAAGAAGCGCACCTCCCATGTAAAACCAAATACAATTGGTTCCTAGCCCTGGAAATGAATCCCAAGCAGAAATTTTATTCTGTTCTGATGTTCCTGACTCTGGACTGGTTTTGGTTTCTGATTTATTCATGACCAGCAAAACGTCCCCCCCCCTCCCCACTATTGACAGTAATAACTGAAAAGCGGACTTCTGGGGGTAATTATCTAAAGATCTCTGTCAGCTTCATAGGGTACTCTTCTCCACTAAATAAAAGATCACAGATACTATGACATATTGGCTGTCTTTTTTTGTCTGTTTTCTGTTCACCAATTTGAGCTCAAATCAAGTAAAAAAAAGGCCATGCCTATTAAAAGAGGAACACCTCATTTTTGAGATATAAATCCATGCTTGTGTTCTCTATTAACCTCTGACCTACAACTAAAGCTATAAAACTGAAAGTTACTGAGAGTTCCCAAATCACACTACTCCAAGATTCTCAGATGGGCCAGTCTAGCATGAAGAGTATTTTAAGCTAAGAGCATTGAAATCCCAACGCAGAAAAGCTTGTGTTCTTGCTTAAGTTTTTTGCCCTCCCCTAATCTGAGATCATCCTAACTTTTCCTAATCAGAGAAATGATCATTGCTATTGTCCTTCTCAAGCTACGGAACTATATGCCCCTATTCAGGTCAAGACTAAACCACAAATTAAGTGATGCATCTTTCTGGAGTATAATAGTTAACTTAGACTTTTTATATCAAAAACAAAAAATACATAGGTTAGGGAAGTCTCACTCAATTGTAGGTTTATCAGTAAACAAGTCCTCTCTAAGAATATCTAACCCCTTTTTGTCTGCATGTAATATCTTCTCCATCCATTCCCACCCCTGCTCTCCTTAGCACATCTAATGCAGAATAAATATCCCCAGTCTATTCCATTATTCTTTCGATGTGAAATTATATACACTCTCCACAACCCCAATCTTAAAAGAGTCCAGATGGGGTAGAGAAAATTTCCCTTCACCACAACACTATAAAATTTTAGGTCTATTTTGAAGAAGTTTCCTTTTCCAGAAGGGAATTTACAAATTAAGGTTAAAATTTCAAAAAGAGTTCTCTAATTTGTTTACAGAGACCAAATAAAGGCTTACTTGAATCTAACAGTACCAGAACCTAACAGTCCACAGAAAAACTAAACTCATCAAAATTAAATTTAAAAAAATCCCACAAAAACCCCTGCCAGAAGCATTTTTATATAATACAAATTACTATAGTCAAAGTGAATCCCTAGGCTAAGTAGTTTTATTTTAAAAAGTATACCTCTGGCCCTCCCTGGTGGCGCAGCGGGTTAAAGCACAGCACTAAGAAGCTAAAGTCACTTTAGCATGAGTTTGATTCCCACCTGCCCCGGAGGTGACCACATGGCGCGGCAAACCTCTCTTCACCCGCCCACTGCTCCCCTCAGCAGTGTACTTCATCTATCTGCCTGTTCTGTTCCCCACTCTGGTCTCCAGTGAAGCCTCTCGCCGCCCCCTGCGCCTCTCGCCTGTACCCCAGTTCTGTATGCACAAATAAATAAATCTTTAAAAAAAAAAAGTATACCTCTGTCTTCACCAACACATAATGTACTATAAGCATGTGTTTTCTGTTACCTAAGACTTGAGTTTGTTTTGCCATGAAAAGACTAACCTGAACTTCCTAAGTGATACCAGAATAGGATCTTCTAATATCAATTACATATTTAAATTTAACAGTCTTCCTTCCTACCCTCAGCTTATCAATACCCACAATGCAAACTCATATAAAGAGTCATTGCTCCACTGAAAGTTGCCCCATATTTCATAAACAAGTTTTTGATAACCCAGAGCCCACCACAGAGATACAACTGCACAGAAGGTACTCTGTTTACAAGACCTATGTACTCTAGATGCATTACCACCATACCCAAGCTATAGAAATATATACTCCTACTTAGAACAGACTAAATCACAAATTAAGTAACGCAAATTAAATAATGGACTGTTTTTTGTATTTTATTAATTTTATTATTTTTATAATTTTTAATTTTACATTTATATTAAAATAAGCATGGATAAAAGAGAACTGAATGCAAAGTTTACATGAATTTTTTAGACAAAATGTAGTATCTCAAAAAACAGTTAGCAGGTAAAGGCTAAAGATAAAAACCACCACTCATCTATGTTGATGGGGGCAATGAAGGCAAAAGTTTTCAAGATAGAATCTCACAAGAAAAAGGAACAGATATCCATATTTATTATTTAATATGGACTAATTAATTAATATTTATTTCCAAGAGACTCACCTGTAATCTTGCAATCTCTTCTCCAAATTTCTTTTGCTGTTTTGCCAGGATTGACTGGTGGTACTCAGCATTGGCCTGCATGATACAGTGCTTTGCAGCCAAGACAGGGAACACCTCCTGGAAATAAAAATACTGACCAGGGGGGAGTCCAACCACACAAACCACCACAGACAACATGGGATGCAGGAAGAAAAAGGAAAAGGAGACAGAAATTAGAATCACCCCATTAATGGTTTAGAGAAGGTTAGTCATTAGATGTAAACACAGAAGACCACATGATTTTGCATGAATTGGATTCAATGAATTCATCCTTTACTTCCAATTAAAAGAGAGGGTTTCTTTTTTAAATGTTAAGTAAAGCCAATTTGTTTTTACAATTGTCTTTCACTGAGCCATGAAGTCAACATTTTGTTTACAAAGAAGAAAGGAAAGCATGCATTAGAAAGAGAAATAGAATGGACATTCAGAGGAATACCAAGCACAGGACTTTAGAAGCTTTCTTATCAGACCTTACCCATCCCTTAGAGTTAGCTAAATCATCATTACTCACATATACTACTGAAATTGCTCTATAGCTGACTGTTTCATCACATTTAAAAGACAAAAGACAATAAAGTAAGTTCCCACTTAAATTCATAACCTGAGACTTTTTTATATAAATTATTTTTAGCCATATAGCAATTTAGTATCACATAAACACTAACAATTCAGTATTATATACTTAAAAACACACAACAGAGAAATACACTAAGTTAATGACTAAACTGATAATAAAAGTCCAAGGTGTTTTGTTTTGTTTTGTTTTGTTTTGTTTTGTTTTGTTTTGTTTTGCTTAGAACCAGGGTATAGGTCAGAGAGGATTTACAAGCACAGAGTGGGGGAACAGCACAGGTGGATTTACTAAAATGCACTGCTAAGGGGAGTAGCAGGCAAGACAAGAAGAGTCTGCTGTACCATAATGAGGGTTAGCTCTCTGGCCAGGAGCTAAACCCAAACCACCATGGCGATAGCACTGAGACTTAACCACTAGGCCACCAGAGAGGCCTCAAAATTCATTTTAAAAGAGCCAAAGCACAAACCAGAAAACCAGTTTTGTTGGCAGAGGTTCTTCTAAAATATCACATCCCAGCAGGCAACTTCGCTATTTAGGAAATATATGCTATACAAAATCCAAGAATATACTACACAGTCTCTGTCTAAACATCAAAAACCAAATTAATACCTTGTGTGCTTTCCTGACTCCCAGTGAATAAGTTCCTAGCTTCCTGGATCATTGCTTGCAAATATTCCAGTTTTATAACTAGAATATGAAAATACTTAGGAGCTTTATTAGTAAAAAGGCCAAAATAAAAGACATCTAACTCTCAAACTGCACTCATGCCACTTCTCAAGGTAAGGCTGGAGCAACTTGGTACTGAAGCAGGAGATTTTCAAGGAATACCAGGTATGCTGCAGAGGTGGCATCCGAGTCTTTGTAGGTGGCATTCTTCTCTCCGTGGCAGGACTGAACTAAAGGCCCAACAGGAGGTAACGGCACACTGTGCAGCTGAGCATGAACTCTTTCAGATGAGAAAAAGGTGAGAGGCGATTCCATAGCCAAGAGTCCTGGGCAAGTTTCTACTCATCTCTTGGTGTATTTTAAATCTCCAGGAATCTTCATATTAAATTCCTGACTGCTCAATTTCCAACTACATTAATGTGTATCACTGATGCACTAAACATGTTTTATTTTCACCAAGTAGTCTGAAATTTCATAATTTATAAAGGTTTTTGAGTGACTTATAAATCAATAAATTCCCCTATAAAAGATCATGTAACAAATACCATAAGTTATCATATAAATACTAACTTCTTGAACATTTCTATAATATAATTGAAATATACTACAAACATTTCATTCAATCTATAAGTTTCCTTTTTTAACCATTCTAAATTTACTTGTTAGTCTAATCATCAGCATTGTGATTTACAAATGAACATCATTATCAATCTTTTCAAATGCTACTTCAGAAAAGTGTACATTAAAACAATTAATACTTCCTGTGATGTCTGGATTAAGATGGTGTTTTCTTTAGCTGTCCAATAGCAGCTCAATTTTCTATCCCTGTTGACAAAACTTAATTCTAATCAAAGTACTGGATGAATTTGTTAAATTTTCTTTTCCTTTTTTCCTTATGTCTGTTTTTGCGCTTTAAGACTCATCTTTAAGAAAACAGGACAATAATTAAAACTGTGAAGAATCAACATGCATCAGTATTCATGCTTGTACCCAATCACAATGATTCAGAACTACAAAAAGCCATTACTTGATATAATTTTTGGAAAGAGATGTCAAAAATTTCCAGGAATTTTAGCTTGGAAAAACAAGTTTAGTCAAGAGAAGAGGCAAAGGTATCCCCTAAATATAAAAGAACTCTTCATGCATCTTTAAAAAAGTTATCATTGCAAATAGATTCTTCAAATGCCTCTCCTAAAATTTCAAACTTCTTTATAAAAATAAGTTTCAGCTCACTTCTTGTATAAAGAAGTATATAAATATTTTCACATGCAAAATAACCAAATGTTTACAAAAACAATAACTAACCTTGGGGAGAGTATCTTTGTACTGACACTGTTTGAAAGCATCACCAAAATAATCAGCAGCTTGATTAGCCAATTTAGCTATGATGGCATCTTTCATTTTATCTGGAATAAAACAGTAAATTAACCATTATAAATAATTAAAATAAATATGAAATACCTGAAGTATCATCACTCAGTACAGACACTGAGATGAAAAGTTTGTACATTTTTCTTTAAAAAATGCTTATTGAGGAAATCAATTCTTCCACATAAAGTCAGGCAAATCAAAAGGGTAAAAAATTAGATTAATAATTGCCAGGGGATGGAAGGAAAGTGGAATGGAAAATAACTGCCATTGGGTATGGGGTTTCTTGATAATAGTATTTTAAAATAAGAAAATGGTGATGATTACAAAACACTGAATTGCATACTTTAAAAGGGTAACCTTTATTATATATGAATTATAACTCAATATAAGCTGATGTTTTAAAAGAAAAAATTATTTGAGTTAATACTGTTTCTACATCACTGTTCTCATATTTTTAATTTATCTCTACTTATACATGTAGATCATACTCCATCTCTTATACCAACTAACAGTTCTATATTCTCAGGTCAGGGACACCGCTGGGATGGCTCCTCCTTATCAATTAGGATTGATTTAAATAAGAAACTTCCTGACCAGTAAATCAAAAATTAGTATAATGCCCCCTAAATCTTTACCCCAAATACAATGACAATAAGTCATCTTATTGACTATTATAGCACTTACTGCTAAAATTCTTTGGCTCTTTAATTTCTGGCTTACCCTTCCCATGCTAAAAATTTTGTAAACTTTCTGGAACTAGAAATCATATCTAGAATCCTACTGGTGACTGGTACACAGTAGATGTCCCATAAATATTTGCTGAATGAATGCATTTAACACATTACAAACCTATATAAATAATACTCCAGAGTTCATTGTTTTATTACAGTAGCCCACTATCACCTTCTCATTTTAAAAGCCTTATTTTATCATTTCTTTTTACACATAGCCAAATAAGAGAACAAACTGAAATTACCTCTTGTGGCCTTTAAAAAAAATACTTCTTGGGCCTGTGCCAGCATAATAAGACTGAGAGTCCCAACAGTATCTGGAGAAATGTCCACAGTAGGCTCTCGATTTAAGGCAGATAAAACCGTCTCTTTAATATGTAAAAAGGCACCACTTGCAAACTAGAAGGAGGACAAAGAATTTCTTTAAAATCTACAGGAACCTAGAGCACGACTTAATTTCCACTGTTACACACATAATCATTTCAAATGTTAACAGTTGAACAATTAAAGTTTTAAATTGTGTGAAACATCTAAAATATCTGACCTACAGACAAAAAGAATATTTTTCTTAACTACTAGAGATTTTAACAAAGATTAAAAAATAAATTGTGGTAAAGTAAATCAATGGGACAAATTAAGCAAGCTTACTTTAGATATATGTCTTCAAAACTAACATGAATATATAGGCAGGGATAAAATATTAATTTTTGAGTACTGAAATGCTTGTTTTGGCACCAAATTATCTCTCAAATAATTTATCTCTCAAATAAGCAGTACTTAGGGAATACTTAAAATACTACAGTTCTCTGAGGAACAGCATTACTCTCCACTGCTAATGATTTCTATTTGGCCTTCAAAGCTCTCTTGTAAAATGTTTCCCATCTGATTTTCCTTCCCACTTACATTTTGCTGAGCTTAATATTAAAATAACTTTGCTTTTATGAAACAAACCACATTGGGGGAAAAGTGGACAGGCCATGTAAAGATAGTGTAGGTCTAATTGTATTACAATGAATTTCGGTCATGAAGTTCAGCTTCAAGGAGTGATCAGCTGACCTTACTTAGTAAACCAATTATAAACTAGGAGAACAGGGGATCCGGTTTCTCATTCATATGGAACTAGAGGCCCATGTAAGTCTAAAAAATTACCTAAGAGCATAGTGTTCTTGGGGGCCAACAACCCAGACAAAGATTCAGATCCTTCAATACCACCTGATGGGAACTATAAAAGTAACTCAAAGAATGGAATGTTTCAATAATTCAGAATGTCCTCTGAAGTCTCAAATACCAATTAAATGAGTTACAGTGAACATTAAACTAATATTTTACTTCATTTTTCACATTTTAAATATTTGCCACCTATAGCCTTCAAAGGAAAAAGATTATGCATCATGTTTGTCATGTGTTCTTATCCAAACTGTACAGTAAATCACAATTTGGAGTGTACTGTTAGTTTAAAATATACTTTCCACTTGCTTTCATTGAACTGCACGCCTCACCTCTCCACTCAATTTAAACAATGTGAAAAATCCTAGCCCATCTCTAAGAAATGCAAATTCCATGGCCATAGGAGACAGTGAAAATACTTGAGTTCCATAAAATTTGAAATCAGAACACCCAATGAACCTCTTAAGTAACACTTTTAACCTTTAATCTTCTTGTCATTAAAATGAGGACACATATATAACATGGACATCAAAGTTTATCTGAGTCAAAAAATATACATGAAAACACTTTGTAAATTACAAACTATTACAAAATATGGTGACTAAGACATCACTTAACAATAATCACTACTGTTCATTTATTTGAAACAAAAAAATTGCCAGAAATTAATATGCCATATTAGTAACTAACTATACCTAAAATATAATGGTAGCTAATTTAAAGCATTACTTACGTGACCATATTTAAATATGACCTTTCCACACAACTGTTAAAATTTTTCTTGCCAAGAAGTCTTAATTTTTATGACAGTGATGAGTTTTATATGTGTCTCACATTAAGGAAAAAATATATAAAAAGAATGTACATATTTTTTAAATGAGGTCATTTATTTAAAAGAGATTTAATAAGGATTTCATCGCACACATTTAATCATTTGTTAATCATCATGTTCTTCCAACATTTACTGAGCCTTTTTTATGTGCCAGGCACTGTGCTAGGGCTGGGATTACGGTATGGGGGTGGGGGAGAAACTGTTATACAGGTAAGTAGTACCCATGGGCTTCAAAAATATGAATCAATTCAGTAACAGTGTACCATTTTTCAAGGACAGGCCTGTAAGAAACCTCTATAAATCTAAATGCATGTTGTTAACTAAGCGTTGATCATTATGTAGGTGCTACTGTTCTGCATACCTGGTAATGCTTAGCAGCGATTTTCAATCCTTCATCATTATCCAGGTTCTGTTCTGCTGCAATCTGGCTAGCTAAGGCTGCACAATTGAACAACACACAACTCTTTTCATATCCTAAGCTTGCAAGAGCTGTAAAAAATTGAGAAGGAAAAATGTGTGAGATTATTTTTCCTAAAGAAAATGAATGTTTCAAGGAATAATACTATAACCTCTTCACATTAGCTCTCCCAAAAACAAGTTTCCAGACCTGTTTCCTCACCCACATGTCCCCTACTTGTAGCTGCCCTGCTAGGCATTTATCTCCACAATAACATTCCCATCATCCCAAACTCAAAATATCAATAAACTTGTTTATCCTTCCCTTTACCTCCCTACTGCTTTATTAACCAGGTTCAAAGTGAAAAGTCATTCCTGTGTAATTTTTCATTTAAATTCAAATAAATGCTTTCCATTTTGCATCATTTTTCTCAAAAATGGTTCTTTTCATCACATTTAAAACCCAGTTCTCACTACTAAAAGCTAAGCAAGTACCTCCTAGCAAAACTCCCACGTATCACTCCCTTATGCCAATACAACTCTCAGAGGACTGGCAGGTAATCTAGTTAAAATACTGATACAACCCTGTTCAAGAGTCTACACACATCAAATTTTTGGGATAGCTACTGACATTGAAAAAAAGGAAAGGGGCAAAACTAGACACTAACAACTGTTGGCAAGGATGTGGAGAAACTTGAGTTGCTGTGTACTGTTAATGGGGATGAAAAATGGTGTAGCCACTAATGAAAAAAATTACGGTTTTCCTCCAAATATAGGAAAAATCACCATTTGATCCAACAATTCCCTTTCTGGGTATATGCCCAAAAGAAATGAATGCAGGATTTGTATACTCTTGGTCACAGCAATATTTTTCATAAATATTCAAAAGGTGAAAACTGACCCAAATATCCACTGATGAATGAACAGATAAAGAAAATGTGATATATACACACAATGGGATATTATTCAAGCTTAAAAAGGAAACTTGTCGGCCCTCCCTGGTGGAGCAGCGGGTTAAAGTGCAGCACTAAGAATCGAAAGCAACTTCCGCATGAGTTCAATCCCCGCCTGCCCCGAGGAGATCCACAGGGCTAGGCAGACCTCTCCTGATCCACCCACTGCTCCCCTCAGCAGTGTACTTCGTTGATCTGTCTGTTCTGCCCCCGACTCTGTCTCTGGTGAATCCTCTCGGTGCCCCTGCAACTCTGGCCTGTACCCCAGTTCTGTATGAATAAATAAATAAATCTTTAAAAAAAAAAAAAAGGAAACTTGTCACATGTTACATAATGGGTCAATCTTGGGGACATGCTAAGTAAAATAAACCAGTCATCAAAAGGCCAGTATAATAGGATTCCATTTCTATTAGCTACCAGTATTAATCAACTTCAGAGAAACAGAAGCACAGTGGTGACTAGCAAGGGCTAGGAAAGGATTAAAAAGGGGCACTGTTGTTTAATGGGTAAAGAGGTTCAGCTTCTTAAGATCAAGAAGTCCTAGAGATCTGCTTAATAACAATTTGACTATACTTAATACTACTAAGCTATATACACAAAGTGACTAAGATATAAATTTTACCTGATTTACTTTACCACTATGAAAAGACTCAATCACAGCAACATTCAAGGTCTTACATGTTACATTAGGCATTGTGCATCAAGCAAAATAATATATTTTAGGCCCTCCCTGTTGGCACAGCGGGTTAAAGCACAGCACTGAGCTTTAAAGCCACTTCCGCATGAGTTCGATTCCCGCCTGCCCCAGAGGTGACCACATGGCAGACCTCTCCTGACCCGCCCGCTGCTCCCCTCAGCAGTGTACTTCGTCGATCTGCCTGTTCTGCTCCCCACTCTGTCTCTGGTGAATCCTCTCACCCTCCGCATCTCTGGCCTGTACCCCAGTTCTGCATGCATAAATAAATAAATCTTTTTTAAAAAATTAACCTATTTTAAAAACACACCAAATAAACCATCTAAGAATCATAACCTGACTGTGTATACCACAGCATAGTGCCATAAAGTAAAACCTTGCAAAAATGGCTTGTTTTCAATTTGCAACCCATCTCTAGCCTCTTCACCCTAACAGGTAGCAAACACACACACAAGTTGATGTAATTTCTAGAAAAATCTAGAATAATGAGGATGCAAATACTGGCTACAAAATGAAGATCAAAGTGTACTGAAAATTTAAGCCCAGAGTAAACAAAGATGATAACAACAGTATATAACATTTCAAAGATACTAATTAGCATTCTTAAAGATGGAAATTTCTAAAATTTCCAGCTTGTAAAACAAGCTGTTTTACCAAAAATTTTAGGAAAAATCCATAAATTAAAAAAAGCTGCAAAAATCAAAATCATCAGGCAACTACAGATCAGAGGAGAAGGAAGAAGGGTCAGGACAGGAGGGGGAAGCACAAGAGACTAGGGTGATAGTGCACAGAATTTGTGGGAATTGCGTGAGAAATGATACATTGGACAAAAATGAAGAATAATGTAATTAATTTATTTTTAAGATTTATTTATTTATGCATACAGAACTGGGATACAGGCCAGAGGTGCAGGGGCAGTGAGAGGATTCGCCAGTGACAGAATGGGGAGCAGAATAGGCAGATTAATGTATTTTTTTTAAAAAGAAAAAGCTTCTGGAATTAAGAACCTGAATGCAAAAAGTTTTTCAAAACTGAGGTTAGACACTAGCTCATAAAGTCAAAGAAATAAAAAATGTAAGTTATAAGTAGCTCAAAAGAGTCAGCATCCCACTAATAAAACATTCCAAAGAAGAGAGAAAAAAAGAAAAGAGCAAATTATCAAATGTTAGAAAATTGTACAGGGCTGAAGGGGGATATGAGTGCAAACTGAAAGAGTCAAACTGTTAAGCACGAAAAATAAAAAGAAAGCCAATTAGAGCTTTTGAGATGTGTAAACATGAGGATAAAGAGAACACTGTAAAAATATTCATCCCAAAAAGAAAGAAACCAGTCACCTTCTACAAAACTACAAAAATCAGGCTTTTCCTTAGTTATAAGTAGAAACAAAGAACTAAGAAGAAATGTGTCAATGAAACACAATTTGAACAATTCAACGAATACATATTAGGGCCAATATGGCTGAAAAAGACAGCTAGAAACAAAACAGCAGACATTCATGTCTGAGAGGTAAGAGTCCACTGATGTTGTAAAGTGCTAGTTTTACACTGAGGAAGGTGGGAAGTCAAGTTTTAACCAAGAATCACTCGGTTCACCCTGTGGACAGAGACCACACAGAAGTAACATAATCAACACACATCAGGTAAGTTAGCTGCTGTAAGAAGTGCTGAGGGTGATGGTGGCTCTGACCAGAAAGGCAGTAGAAGTGCTGAGCAGTGTTGATTTTGAATCTTTTAAAGGAAAACCTGATAGGTTCTACTGAGGAATGATCTGGATATGGGAAATGAAGTGAAAGCATGTCAACAATGACTAAGACAGTGTCAACAATAACTAAGAGATTGATCAAGATACCAGCTGCCTATGTTCAAACTACATACACAAATAGAGGTATCTTCAAAAAGAAGAAATTGATAAAGTCGATCTTTATTCAGCAAGTTACTTAAAATAGTCCAGAAAAAGAGAAAAACACAATATCCAGAAAATAATGATGCTAACCTAAGAGAACAGTAATATTCCAGGATAACACACAGCAGCCCTAATGAGCACAGTCCAAATTTAAGCAATAAAAGAGATGACACCCTAAATGAGTCTCTCAGGAAAAAAGGGATTCTAAAGAAAAAAATAGTTAAGACTATGGCAAACCTACACTTTACCATAGCACAGAATGCATGTGGTAATGAACAGTTAAAATCTCTAAACTCGGAGTAGCAGCAGGTTAAAGCACAGCACTAAGAAACTAAAGCCACTTCAGCATGAGTTCAATCCCCACCCCAGAGGTAATCCACATGGGCCTCTCCTGACCCGCCTGCTGCCCCCCTCAGCAATGTACTTTGTCAGTCTGCCTGTTCTGCTCCCCACTCTGTCTCTGGTGAATCCTCTCACCGCCCTTGCACCTCTGGCTTGCACCCCAGTTCTGTATGCATAAATAAAATAAATCTTAAAAAAAAATCTCTAAACTCACACAAAGCAATTAAAGAAAATCATGGTCAAAATATGAAGCAAAAGATCTACGATGTGACAGGAAGTCAGTAGGCTTCCACAGATAAAAGTAAACTTTGCATATATAAAACATATGTCCCAGCCTATTATTTTTCTCATAAGTAGTCTGTCATTTTCTTTTGAAAATTTCTCATGGAACAAAGTTTTGTGAAAACAGTTTTTGCTCTTATAATTAAATCTTATCTTCTTTTTCTTTATGGTTTATTATATGGAAATCTAAATTAGATATTGTTTAATAAATATTAAGTTTTCCATTCTTCAAAAGGCTCTTTATTCAATTCCATTCTTATTTTTTCACCTGAGCTCTGCTTTCTTACTGAGAGTTTCAAATGACAATAATTTGATTATAAAAAAATAAGTTTACTGAAATTACAACAGCTGTTTAAAAAAATGTTTTAAAGATATTTAAAAAAAAAGCACAATATATTCTAACTCCCATCGATGCACTGTTAATTTTTTTTTCTTAGCAAATCCCATGACAAGTAACTACGTGTATATTCACATACACAATTTTTGATGAATTGGATACTATCCCATACTCAGGCTGCCTGGAGAAATAACCCCAAGAAGCAGCAATCCTGCTAGGTTCTACATGAATACTGTCCCAACTGTGGGGTCCCTTGAGTTACAGTGCAGCTGTTGTAACATGAAAGAGATCATTTTACTTAATGTTCCATCAACATAGCTTTACAGCGCAACAACTATATATTTGCATTATCATTCTAAGTATTCCAAAAATAGACAATATTCTAATGAATGGGTAATCCATGTTTTATTTAATCAAGACATTACTAAAAGACATTTAATTCTTAATACTTGCTACTAGAAATATCCTGATGAACTACCTCCTGTTTTACTTATGCTATAATTTTTGCTTCCCACTTCCAGGAATTAATTCCACTTAATTAATTTCAGTTATTTCCTGCATCCCTTGCCCAGTTCTTAGTCTAACAATTTACTTGTCACACCACCTATATAAAAATCATCCTTGCCTCCCTCTCAGCTCCCTTTGCTCCCAACCTTTACAGCAAATTTCTGGAAATAGGCAATCCATTTCTTGCTTCTAGTTTAACCCTCAACCTGATGCAATTTATCGTCTTCTGCATCCCCTACTGAAACTTCTCTTTCTGCCAACTCCAGTGACTTCTCCAACCTAACAATGATGTGACCTCTGCCACAATGACTATAGATACAGCTATATCTTTAACTTTTCTTGAGGTAATTCTAATGTGGAGTCAGGTTCAGGAACCACTGGACTACAAACTCTCTGAAATTCTTCTAGCTTTAATTATATGTCTTTGTTTTTCCCTAATTCCTCTGAGATCTGAAAGCACTGCAAGTCCATTCACAGAAACCAGTTCCCCTATTTCCTCTGGATGTTATATCCTCAGCTTTAGTTTTATGCTTTTTCAATCTATATTCTAGAGAGGATATATTTACTGTCATGTAATGACCACTGTTTTCAAATCTATGACTCTTTCTTTTGAGGTTTAAATCCATTATTTTTAAACACCAAAGGTAAATTTCTACCCAAACATAACACAGGGTAATCTAAATCAAGCTGTCTAATGAAAGAAATAACCAATAGGTCAAACAAAGTTGCCACTCTTAAAGTCAACTTTCACCCCTATTCATCCTTCTGACTGACAGCAGGCCAATCCAGTCATTTTCACCTCTGAAATGTCTCTCAAATTCATTCTTTCTCTGATTTACATATAGTCCTTATCTATTCCTACCTCTCATCAGTCTCCTAATTGTTCTGTTTCTCACTAATTTTGGAGTTAAGGCTTTCTGGATTCATTAACAGTCTTCAATGATTCCTTGCATATGACATCATAAAGTCACAATCTTTCTAATCAATTTGCTCAACTGGTAATAATAGTGCCTTTCCTCACTGGATTACTGGGAAATTCAGGAAGATAGTATATGTTTAAAAAAAGCCCTTTTTTTAATAAACAAATATATTAATAAATAAAATAAAAGGTAATGATACCCCATTTTTAAAAAATGTCCTTTTCACAGTGACTAGTGGTAAGTACAACAGCCCTCCTCTGTAATGCATGTTTCAAAACACAAAAAGATATTTAAAACCAGAGTATTGAACCCTTTATATACTGTATTCTTTCCTATACACACAAACCTGTGATAAAGTTTAATGTCTAAATTATGCACAGCAAGAGATTAGCAGTGACTAATAATAAAACAGAATAACAACAACATACTGTACTAAAAGTTCCACGAATGTGGACTCTCTCATATTCTCAAAATATCTTATTTTATGTGACATTTTTCAGACATTGTTGATAACAGGTAACTGAAATCAGTGAAACAAATTCAAGGGGACTACTATACTCAATAAATATTAGCTATGATAATCAGAGGGAAGAATACAAATCATGAGTGTAATATCTGCAAATCTTTCTGATGTCTTTTCTAATGTTTTCAACCTCCATAATTCCTAATTAAACCCTTAACAATAATGACTATATTAATATATATTACAAATAATTTGTCTGCATAACATTATATAATATTACATAGTATATATTCTATAACAAATACCTATAATACATTATACAGTTATACATAAGTAGTATCATTATTCATTGCAGTTACTATTTAGTGAGCAGATATATTCACTCATTTAATCCACAAAAAATTCAATGAGATAAACATATTTCACAGTGCTATTTCTCACCTCAAAGATAAGAAGAAATTAACTTGTTAATATGTCAGACAAGTAAATCAAAAAGCTTTTATTTCTGATCTTTGATTAGAATTACCTTCTACCTAGATAAACTACATTCATCCTTCAGGGTTGAACTAAAACATTGTTTGTTTTCAACAAGCAGAATTAACTTCTCCCTCACCTGTGTTTCCATAATTTTTTCACAGACTGATATACTACCTACTATATTTAAGAATGATCAACTGTTTTCTCAGCCAAACTAAGTATAATTGTCTTACTTGTATTTATAACTAGGACAGTGCCTGGCAAGGCATAGGCTCTCTGCAAATATTTGGAAATTGCATTAAAAACTGAAATTAAAATGAAAATGAAATGTAAAGATTTTTATTATTTATAAGGAGTCACAAGAGTAATTTTAAAAACCTAAAGTAATACAAGTGTTTAGACCAAGCATCCTACTGGTTTTATTTAAAAATAACATACCTGAGGGTGTTGCTGGTGGCACAAGAAGCACAGTAGTATGAAGTTATCTGTAGCCACTGAAACACAAGTTCAATCCCTGGCCAAGATGCTGACCCACGTGGTGCAGCGACCGCAACTGTCTCACCCACCACTCCCTCAGCAGTGTATTTCATTATATCTTCCTGTTCTGTTTCCTATTCTCTCTGGTGAATCCCCACACCACCACCATCCTAGTTCTTGTATGCATAAACACTTCAAAAAATAATAACAACAACATACCTAATTTTACAGATCCTCCAAAAAGTGAACCTTTATCAAAAGCATCCTTCCAGGTAAATGTCAAGCAGATCTTGATAAAAAGAGAAAAAAAGAAAATTATGTTACTTTCTTGGATCTCATTAAAAATATTCTCTTTTCAAAGAAAAAGTCACAATGAGAAAAAGGTCAAACATCTGAAACAATAGCTTTCTGACAGCCCTTTCCTTTTCCTGTACCAAAATTGTTCTTTTAAGTAAAATGAGTGGCATTAGGATATTTCAAATGATCTGCTACCATTATAATCATACATGTATTGTACTCTCCAGAAACACTCATATTCATCTTTACAAATACACAATGATTTGAATAAAACAGGTATTTAAAATAACTGTCAAAAGCAAATGCAACACGTACTTCACCTATCCCTGTACATCAAATTGACAAAAGTAGGAAACCAGCTATTTTGGGGTAAAGGGGAAGAAGTAACAACTTAAATCATGAACTGAGTAGTGGCTACAAATGTATTTACTTTGTAAAGATTCAAGTTATACACATGGTATGTTCACTTTTCTGTATGTCTGTTATATATAAATAAGAAATTTACTTAAGGGAAATATTGCATCTCATTCTACTTCTACTTCTAAAATATTCCAATATGAAGGTTCAAAAGAACATAGCCTCTTTTAAATTATGTATTGCAATCCAAATATTTTTAATGCTATACTAGTTTTTTTGATAGCTATAAAACTAGAAAGAGTAACATTAATAAACCCCCAGATGTCTGGAGACTTTCTTCAAAAGGACAGAAATTCCAGTCAGAAGTCTAAAAGCTCTCATAAAAGAGAAGTATAAAAGTAGCATAAAGCCCAAAGATATTAAAGAGGCACCTGTTAATTTACTAAATTAATTTACTAAATTGCCACTGTTATATAACCTTAAAACAAATTAAAATTAATAGCTTACCTGATTTTCAGAAAATGGAAATTTAGGTTCAATGGAACAGATCTGATCATAATATCTTTAAAAAAAAAAAAGAGAGAGCAAAATTAAAAATTGCCAGAGCAAGATACTACACACATCTATGTAAACACAACTGGAAATTATTCATGTTTACTTTGAATGGCCCACAAATCAAATTCAACCAGTCATTTTAATGTTAATGAGCAAAATTTTTTACAAAGTAGGAGTGTAAGTGCACACACAAAAAACTGTTAGGCCCTCCCTGGTGGCACAGTGGGTTAAAGCACAGCACTAAGAAGCTAAAGCCACTTTAGTATGAGTTTGATCCCTGCCCTGGAGGTGATCCACATAGCGTGGCAGACTTCTCCTGACCCACCTGCTGCTCCCCCTCAGCAGGGTACTTCATCAGTTATCCTGTTCTGCTTGCAATTCTGTCTCTGAAATCCTTTTACCACTCCTCCAACTCTGGCCTGCACCCCAGTTCTGTATGCATAAATAAATAAATCTTTAAAAAAAACTCACACTCGGGCCCTCCCCGGGGCCCTCCGTGGTGGCGCAGCAGGTTAAAGCACTGCACTAAGAAGCTTAAGCCAATTCCTCATGAGTTCAATCCCAGCCTGCCCCGGAGGAGATCCACATGGCGTGGCAGACCTCTCCTGACCCGCCCACTGCTCCCCTCAGCAGTGTACTTTGTCGATCTGCCTGTTC